AGCTTCTTCTGACCCCATAAAGAATCTGTCAATGAAACTGCAAGATGCATGGACCAAATAAGAGGAGGGGATACATTTGGATCTGGTCAGAAAATCTTATTAGATCCATGTAGTACCAAAATTTCTTTTCTGAGCTCAGCTGAAGGATATGCATTGGCATATTCTTCAACATGAAGACAGTTGAAAAATGTAAAGGTAGCACTTGATGGGAAATTCAGTGTGCAAGGGTGATTGTATTCTTGTAGGGGAAGTCTGTAGCTAGCACCCCATCGGAAAAGAACTCACATAACACTCAATACACACAGAAGTGCCACTGAAGTCTGTAAAAGCTATGAACCCATTATTGAAAATGTGTGGCAGCCTTCTCTGGACACACATCAGCTTCCATGAAATCCAGCAGGAAGCATTATTATTGAGCTGTTACATCCAATGAAGTCGCTACTTATTTTTACCACGATGTAAACAATAGACGTTTAACAAATAGCAAATGTTTTTGAACACCTAATCTATTGGTAAACCTCCCCATCCCTTTCCTTGCGCAAACCCTACTTCGTGACCATCGCGCAGAGCGCAGAGGGCGTGCTCCTACGGCCCATAAGCCCATTAACCAGCCGCCGGCGTTGGAGACGAGGAGCTCGCCGGTGTTAGGGTTCCGTGTTTATGGGATTTACTCACCTGCGGCTCTAGAAGGGGATTTGGGGGTGACGGCCATGCCACCCACCGGGGTGGTAGGAGACGACTCGGCTGCCCTGTGATTAGGGGAGGACAGGGTCAAAGAACAGAAGGGGGGGGGCTTGGCAGGAACCACCGGCCAAGGGTAGTGGAAGCCAGAGGCGAGGGCGAGGACGAGGACGGCGGGGTCGCGCGCTCCTCAAATGCGCGACCCATCGCGTGTTATCTTCGTCCCTTTCATTGTGAAGATGGCCATAATATATAGTTGTCTCCAAATCCAGCAGCATTTTGTTTGTGGGTGTATAGCTATCTCATTGGTGAAAACTACTAAAAATACTCCATCCGTTTCAAATTGTACGTCGTTTTGGCTTTTCTAGATTCATAGATTTTGTTATACATCTAGATATACCTTATGTCTAAATACATAGCAAAAACTATGTATATAGAAAAGACAGAACGATTTACAATTTTGAAAGCAGTGAGTACATCAGAAACACAAATTAATATTCTATGCCGAGCATAATGCATCAGCAAAGATCGTCAAGTCCTTGCCAAGTCACTGTCTGCCGTCCACGTGGAAATGGCGTAAAGCACCCTCCCTTTCCATGCCTGGAGAAGCCACTGCTGATCCTCACTGATCACGAAATGCTCGTGGTATTCCCTTTTCACCTTGTCTTTGAGCGTCTGAACAATGTCACAGTCCAACGGCAGCTGCCGCAGCCCTGCCCGCCGGCTCCTCGCCTGCCACTGCTTGTAGCTCCGAGGATGCTGCACCCGGTCCGCGCCCTCGCAGGCTATGACGTTCACGGCGCAGCGCGCGAGGACGTCCCGCTCGAACAGCAGCCTGCTGCCATTGTCCCGGGGCAAGATGGTGTCCATCATGTCGAACAGCGCCGTGAAGTTGTAGAGCGCCTCCCGGAACCGCGTCGCGAAGAAGACGGTGCTGTACGACGCGTTGAGGACCGCGTGGACGAACACGGACGGCTGCATCTCTCTGATGGCGCCGATGGGGTCCGTGCCTGCCTCGTCGCCGTCAGTAGCCATCGTGCCCTCGTCCGTCAGCGTCCTGAAATGGAACAGGCTGCTGACGACGAGCACCTCGTAGGGATCGATGTCCAAGTCGCCCGCGCGGACCGCTTCCGATTTCGCCGCGATGCCGCGGAACCTGAACGGCACGCCGAGCTGGCGCGCGCAGGCGGTGAGCCGGCGCCCCGCCTCCTCGATGAGCCGCGCTGGACGGAACCCGGGCTGTGGCACGTCGATGCCGGTGAGCCGCACCTCCGGTGGCTCGCCCTCCCTGCGCGCGAGCCACCGGAGCAGGGTCGCCCACTGGAGCCCGTGGTCCAGACCGTAGTGCACGATGTGCAGCTTCTTCCTCCCAGCGGCAGCTTTGTAGATGGACATGTTGGAGAAGAGGATGTTCACCGGGAGGAAGCAGCAAGAGGCCATGAAGAACTGCATCGCCTTGAGCTGGACACCCGAGGAGGAGGTGGTTTTCGGCATTAACGATGACGACCGGTAGTGCAGGTTCCCCGTGCCGTTGAGCCGCACCTGAAGCCCCTCGGCGAAGCAGTGCGCCAGCCGCTGCGTGGCGTTCCCGCTCGGCGAAGAGTGGTGCCTAATCCGCTGCAGAAGATCGGCCGCTCTGCGGCGGTCGTTGTCGGACACGGCGTCGGCGCAGCGGATGAGCATGGAGTGGAGGTCCACCGCCTGCTGCTGCTGATTCTGATCCGCCCTGGCACCGGCCGGCCTCCCTGGCGGTGTCTTGGCCATGTCCATGGCAGCGCGCAGCTCCTGCATGTCGTCGGCGAGGATTGGTTCGTCGTCGCTGTTGAGCATCAGCTTGTCTAGCATCTCTCGCGCGGCGGCTTCCTCCGACTCCTCGCCATCAGCTGCCATTTGCTTGCTGCGACTGCCCTCCGCTGCCTCGTCATCTCCGTCAACGTCAAGCCTCTTCTTCCTGCCCCTGCAATCCGCCGTGTAGCCGCCGGCGCCGGGCAAGAATCTGTTGGCCTCTTCCATGCCTCTTAAGAACGCCATGCTCACCGCGTCCTTGAAGCAGCTGCTGCCCGCAGCTGGCGACAAGGTATTGGCCGGCTCCACCGTGCCCGTGGCCGTGCTATTCAAGGAGGGTGGATCCTGGAGGTCGTTGCCTTGGGTGCCGGCCTGCAGGGCGCTGGAGGAGGTGTCGGAAAGGACCTGGGCGAAGAGCTGCTGGGTCTGGAGGAGCGCGGGATTGTGGTCAGGGTACTGCTGGTACAAGAACTCGTCGACGGCGTCGTCCTCCATGAGCATGCGCGAGATGCAGGGAAGAACAGTATCGTCTTGGCTGCCGTAGAGGTGGAGCGTTGGGCAGAGGTTGTTGCTGAAGGAGCGGGGCAGTGCTGCGGTGGGTTCCATGAGCGATGAGGTCCAGCAGAAGATCTTGCTCCTCCGGGGCGACCGGGACATCGCAAGTGTGTTGCCGGTTGCCGATGAGGTTAAATAGGCTTGGACAGGTAGAGGTGTTTTGGCTTTACTGCTATGTGCACGATGAACCCAACATGAGGCTACAGACAATAAGAAAGAGCTCACATAGATGATACATACATGACACTGACAACAAAAATATGATAGTCACCATACACCTCATACAGGGAAATTGTCTGAAAAGTGAAAAACTAAAATAAATTTACAGGGAAATCCATCTCAAGTTGCGGTGGATAACTCTAAATTAAAGTACATCTCGAATGTGGAATGATTGCCCCACTTGTTTTCTTAAACTTTCTAGAAGAAGTACATCTAGAAGTACATCTTTTGGGCGGAGTAATCATGGTCATGATTTGTTTGGTAGTAAATTAGTCATCTTAACTCTTTTCAGATCTTACACGCTAATTCTCATGGGATATGTACACCAGAGAAATAATCTTATAAACTATCGCAAAAACAGGCATCTGACCATCAACGAGGTATATGCTAGTCACCATCAACAATAATAACCATTTGGTATTTTTATTTTATTTTATCTATCATTGGATCTATTCAGTTTTCTAGCAAAATTATCTGCATCTGCTACTACATGAACCTAAAGGGACCCCTAAACCTTCATTTAAAAATTACCCATCTACATCATATGAAAAATTCTAAAGTAAACCCTAAAATTGCATATAAATTTCCCATCACCGCTAGTATTAAAATAGATGTGCATCTAATTAACTGCCTCCACTGCTATGAAAAACTATTGCAAAGTATTCATATACTCCCTCTGTTCTAATATAAAGCTCGTTTTAGTTTTTGGCCTAAGTCAAGCTCCTCTAGCCTGGCAAAATTTATTGTAACAAATATATTAACATCTACAAGGCCAAATAAATAAACTATCAACACAAATTTCATGGTTTAACAAAAATCAATTGATGTTTTCATATAGAAATCCTCAACTAAAGATAGAGGAACATTCATGGAGGTATGAATTATGATGCAAAAGGGGAAAAACTATGAGTGGAGATGAAAATGGATATAGAGTAATTAGTAATTATAGTCTATCACAATCAGATAAACATAAAAATATCTATGTGAGCGTTGTGTTAGAATCTAAACAAACGAGAGAGAAAAGATAAACAGTTTTGATTAACTTTGAATCCCAAATCTATCCATGGACTTTTAACATTTCTTATAGAAATTAATAGCCCGTGCAGGAGCAAGGCGTGATGCCGTGATGGACTAGCTTTTAATAATGCAGTTGCAAATCTCAACGTTGATGTAGGTGAACATTTCAGAATTAAACCTTCTAGCAAGCAAACAACCATCAAGTGCTGCCCGTTTGTGATCAGATACATAGAAAAATGATGCAGATGAAACATGCACACACAGCTTCATGAAACTAATACGTGCACATCAATCTTGAATAGCAAGTGCAAGTACTGCCTAGTTGATCACGAACAAACCTGATACTATAGTATTGGGTTACTGTAAAAAGTTATTTGCCCATTAAACTCATCACATGCACACAGTAATTAATTGACTGGTTCAATGAAGTCGCCCCTAGAGCAGCAGTTGTTTTCTGCTGCTGCCTGCTGCAAGAAACTTGTGCTGAAGATTTTTGTTCTATAGATAGAGTTCAAGACCAAAGCCGAACATTCTAACTAGAACATTAATTGGCACTGGCAGTTATCTAGTGTAATGTACGTCCTGAATACCAGTACATCAATGACATGATAACAATATAAACTGCTTTTTAGGAGCCGCTGCACCAGCACTGAATGACTAAACTACAACAGTGTACATGGATAAATGGTTCTCAGGGAGCATCTGAAGACCGTGTTATCATTTAGCAGCAAGAAACTAAAGCTTCATTCAGAAGATGCGTCGTTTGCTACCCATGTCGAGTGGGCAAAGAGGACGCGACCTTTCCATCCTTGCAATAGCCACTGGTCATCTTCGCTGAGCAAAAAGTTCTTGTGGTGGTGCTTCTTGACCATGTCCTTTAGTTCCTTAACAATGTCTGGATCGAGCGGCAGCTGCCTCAGACCGGCCTGTCGATTCCTCACCTGCCACCGTCTATACTTCTCAGGGCGGTCAATGAGGTCCACACCGTCACAGGCGATGGCGTTCAGTGCCCAACGCCCAAGCATGCCCTGCTCCAGCACCAATCGTTGTTCACTGTCCCGTGGGACAATTGTGTCTAACATGTCAAACAGTGCTGAGTAACAAAACAGTGCCTCTCGAAACCGTGACAAGAAGGAGGTACCATGTGAGAAATTCAAAACGCTCTGGATGAAAATATTGGGCTTCATCTTCCTGATGTTATTGAGGACAGTATCCCTAGGACTCAAGTCACCAAAGAATGTGCTCTCGCCCACCAAGCTGCTCAAATTAAAGATGTCATTCACGACGAGCACCTCATCTTCGTCTATATTCAAGTTCTCTATGGAAACTAACTCCCGCTTCATTGTGATGGCTCGAAATGTGAATGGCATGCCAAACTCACTAGCACACATGTTGAGCCGGTGCTCTTGCTCCTCAATCCATTGACTTGGACAGGCCCTAGGCTGGTAACTGCTAATGGCGGTGATCTTCATCTCAGGTGGGTCACCTTCTCTGTTTCTGTTTGCCAGCAACCGGATCAAGTCTGCCCACTGGAACTCATAATTCATAGCACCATAGTCCACATTGTGCAGCCTGTTCTTCCCCACCATGGTCTGCATGATGCTCCTTGTGGAAAAAATGTGTGCTACCTTGTTGAAGGAGCAGGCTGCTATGTAAATGCTGTAGGCCTTGCGGAACTCCACAGCTGATGGTCGCTCTGCCATGAGCAACTTCGAAACCTGGCTTCCTGTGCCCACTAGCCGGGCCTCTAGTCCCTTGGAGAAACATAGAGCTAACCGCTGTGTGGCATCCCCTGTTGCTGATGCGTGCTGTTTGATCTGCTTCACTAGCTCAACTGCAATCTTGAGATTGCCGGTGTCCACCGCTTGTGCACAATGGATCAACAAAGAGTGTAGGTCCACCAGATCCCTTGCTACCTTGCTACAGCCCTTTCTGTTGTTCTTCACTACCTTATTGTTCATGGTGATGCGCAACTTCTCCATGTCCCTGACAAATGTCTCATATCCACACAGCGACATATCGTCAAAAATCTGCATGCCAATCTCTTCTGGCCCCTCCATTGTCATCATACCTTTGCTGGTCCTGCCTACCTCCTCCAGATGCTCACACTTGTTACACCTCCCTACCTCCTCTAGATGCTCACACCTGTTACACCTCTTCTTAAACCCTCTTTGGTCACGGGGTTCCCTGAACTTTTGGTTCATGTGATCATCCTTTAACAAACTGTTGCCCCTTGGTAAGAACTGCCTACCCTCTTGCATGCCCTTAAAGAATGCCCCCACCACATCAGCACCCTTGTTGTCCCTTGGTAAGAACTTCCTACCCTCTTCCATGCCCTTCAAAAATGCCCCCACCGCATCAGCACCCTTGTCGAAGCCCAAGCTAACCCTGGTTGGATCACCACTAGAACCATGCAACAAACCCTCACTCCCCTCTGAGTTCCCCTTGTTGATTGAGCTGTTTTTAGTGCTGGGGGAAGGGGAGGAGAGAACATGGGCTAAGGCCTCCTGCATCTGGAGTAACCCCACCACATCAGCACCCATGTCAAAGCCCAAGCTGACACTGGTTGGATCACCACTAGAACCATGCAACAAACCCTCAGTCCCCTCTGAGTTCCCATTGTTGATTGTGCTGTTTTTAGCAGTGGAGGAAGGGGAGGAGAGAATATGGGCTAAGGCCTGCTGCGTTTGGAGTAACGCAGGGTGATCATAGTATTGGCACAAGATTTGATCATCAATGCTGTCCTCCAAGAGCATGTGAGAGATGTAGGAATGCACCATGTTATCAGGGGAGAGAGGACCCTCACCGTTGCGAAATACAGATGGAGATGGTGCCGATAGTTCCATGAGATCCTCCAGAAAGAATTCTACCAGGTTGGTGGGCAACAGGACCACTGGTGGTGGTGATGCGCTATTGCGCTGTAGCTTTTTTTCTTATGTCATCAAGAAGACAACAGACCTTGCCAATATGTATTCTAGTGCTAGATAGTTCCAACAACCTAGCATCTGGAGTGGAAGTGTTTGATGATTCCAATGTTGCTTGGACAATGGAGACAGAGGCGTGCTATGATTCCAATGTTACTACACTTGGGTAATAGAGACACTAGCGCTACAGCACAAAGCTAGCAAAATTTTTCTACCTTTTCTGAAATAGCAGAGGAAAATATTTGAACAAGTCAAAACATATTTAAATAAGGTTTGCACGTTAAGATGAAGTGTTTAGGTTAGTTATATAGGAATTGTGTGAGTATGATACTGTAATTGTCCTAAGAAATATTTCTGTGAAAACTAATGAAAACACCATGCTGCTACATAAGAAGTTATGCCTCCAAGGCTCCAGGTGAATACTATCAAGAGAGTGCTACAATTGGGGCTTAATAACCATTTTAAGCACGTTTCAACTTAGGGTTGTCAATGATAACCATTAACCATATCAGATTAATGCACAAAATAGCAAATAATACTACTATACTAGTATCTAGCACAGTGCATTCCAGTCATTCTAAAAGTTTTTTTAGTAGTGGGGCTAGAACGCTTGCTGCGTCTGCCTTGATGGCCTTCATATGCGAACATCTTCCTCCTCATGAGAAAATAGAACTGTAGATGGTTTACAGAAGAGTCAAGTGAGGCAGGTTGAGGCCTTGAGGGCATGAATCACATGTGCAGGTTCCACTTGTTAAGTTGTCATAAGGAGTAAAACGCCTAACAGAATGTCAGTGTGAATAGGCGCTGCCTCAAATCTGAAACAGATAGTGCAACATTGTAGTCCGCTAATCCGGAGCTTCATTACGCTGTTTAACTCTTGAATGGAGCGTCAGAGGTTCAGCGTACAAGAGCACAGCAAGTCTACAATACAAGCACAAGGTAGGAGGAACTAGGAAGCTAGCGGGAGCAATCCAAACATTTGGACCAGGCCATCACCAATTACTGCCACTGCGTACCAGACGTCGGCGGCGCCGGCGGCTACGGGCTACTCGAAGTTGTAGTGCTTGTCGACGGCCTCGGCGACGTCCCAGGTGCAGCTCATGCCCTTGGGGAAGACGACAAGGTCCCCCGCGGCGATCTCCACGAACTCCTCCCCGTGACCCTCGGGGTACACCTTCGCCTTCCCCTGCAGCAGGTAGCACGTCTCCTTGGCGGAGTAGGTCCACGGGAACTTGCTCTTCTCGCACCCCCACCTGATCGATCAATTCATTCACCAGCAGATCGCCGTCAGCAAGGGCACGGCCGCACGGGCACAGTGTAGCGGCGTAGGACGGCGGGCGGGATCAGAGACTGAGAGATCGAGACGCCCGGGAGGAGGGAGGGAGGGCGGGTCGCTCGCTTACTTGGGCCACTGGCGGACGCCGAGCTCGGAGAGGCGGGACTCGGGCGGGTTGCGCTCCACCTTGATGCCCAGCTTCTCCGTCGCCATCGTCTCCGCCGACGCCCTCACCGCCGCGAATCGCCGCCGCCTGGTGGTGGTGGCTGTCCCTGGTGCGCTGGGAAAGGAGCAGCAGAAGCTGAGGCGGCCGGTTGTGCGGAGCTGGACCGGGGTGGCCACCATTGGGCTCGTCATCTCCCACTCAGGAACACGCACTTGGGTGGTGGGCCGCCTTCGCGCGTGGTAGTGAACTGAACCGTGGCGAAACGAAGGCTCCCGATGCGGCGCCGGTCAGTGGCCCAGGTTTCTCCTCATCGAGGCCCACTCGTTGCTTATCCATCTATCCTCTTCGCACGGAGCCGGAGCTTTCTGCTTCACGCACGATATTCTCTTTATTTATTTTTTATTTCGTATATATAGTAGTGACTAGGAATTTTCTGTGCTTGTTTTTCAGCGAGGGGAGACTGGAAAATGTGGAGGAGACGGGAGGCATGGCAAGAGCCAAGAGACCGAGAACTCAGTCAGAGACAGAAGAAAGGTCAGTTCATATGAGAAAAGCAGGCGTCTTTGCTGCCAACAGCGAAAAAACGGCCGTCAAAGTTCAAACTCCGGAAGTCGAGGAAGATAGCAGCACAAGCGTGAATGCGTAACGAGATTTTAGCACGATGGAGCGCTACCTTACCCCGGATTTGCGTTCGGACGGACGGACCCCATACTCGACCACGCTGTCTCCACCCGCATCACCCGCTCAGCTCTGCTCGTGGGACGGGCCCCATCCTCGCCCTCGTCGCCTTCGCTCGTGCCCCGTCGCCCGCGCGCGCTGTGCACGGCGAGCCCGACACGCTAGGCGCTCACTAGCTTGCTCCCGGACTCACGCCTCCTAGTCATGGTCGTGCTCCATCCGCCTGTCCTTGCCCCTGTCGAGGTCCGTGCCGCCGACGAGCTTCACACTGGCGACCTCCGCGGTTTCGAGATATGCGTCGACGAGCCTCCATTCGTCCAAGCAGCAAGCAGATGTTACGCTGAAAGCTCATGTTACAATAGTATGTTTCAAGTGTTTTAGATGTTTTCGATATATGTTTCAAGTGTTGTATATTGATGTTGCAAAAGTAGATCAAGATGTTGCACATGTTGTAATGGCTACTCATGAATGTTTCAAGTGTATGTTCCAAATGTTTCATCTATTCCAGACGAATGTTGCAAATGTTTTGTCTGCATGTTGCAAAAGTAGATCTAAATGTTGTATATACATGCATGTTGCAAGCATATGTTTCAAGTGTTTTCAGGTGTTTCATCTGGATATTGCATATGTTTTCAATGGTTTTTAAATGTTTTTCAGGCGTTTTGCAAGTGTTTCAAACGCTTGTTTTCAAGTGGTTCATATGTCTTTTTTTTTATGTTGCAATTGTTGCATTTGAATGTTTTAAAAGTAGAACGAGTGTTGACATGAGATGCGCGTGGGAAGCGGACGGCGGCGCGGACGACGTCTAGGGTGGCATGGGTGACGTCCGGGACGGCACGGGACCACTGCTGGTGCACTCCCTCGAGAGCCCGACAGCTAGGCGCTCGTTCGCTCCCTGTGCGGGCAGCGTCTGGACGCTAGCGCCCGGTTCGAACGTTCAGGCACTAGCAAGTTCGACTTTTTTTTTCTAGTTTCTTCTACTTTTTTGGTTAGCAGAGCAAAGACTTGAGCGATGAAATGTAAACCTCTCACCAAAATTTAGTTTAGGAACAATAAATAAGAAGCTGCGGCACAATAAAGTCTCGTCACACAGGATTGTCTTAACCTAGAGCGTGTTTGGTTTCGGCCCTAGTAGCCAAAATTGGATGTCACACTTGTGGTGAGAACTTCTGCTCCAACTAGGTGAAAAAGCAGTGGCATGTCTAGGTTTATTAACTTACCAAGCCGCTCCAAAAGGTATGGTAGCCATGTTTTGGTGACGGCGGGAACCAAATATGCTACTAATGAATAAGGCCCTATTTGATAAGGTTTCTTCTCCTAAAATGACTTGGGCATCAAGGAATAATATTATGCACTAGGGGCTGGCGAAAACTAAAAAAATTGGCTTCATCGGCTTTGACTCTTCCAGAAGAACTAGAGCCAAAATAAGTTCTACTAAATAAGCCATAAGATAGTTTTCATAGAATTAATTAGCATGCCACAAAAGTATTTTGCTGACGTCAAAGGAGAATCAACAAGGAAATACTAGAAGGAAACGGTTTCTACCTGAGAAATGGTGTTGTTGGCTCGTTAACCAATGATGCAAGAAACAACTTCTTGCGTAATGGAGCATGGGCATAGTTTCCATCCCCTCCCTCTCGAGTGATGAGATCCTTTTGTAGGAAACTGCTATGCAGTTGGCTCACTGACAGGTGGGCCCGATTACAGTCATGTTCGCATGCTATTGAGTCAATTGCACGATAGACTAGAGGAACGAATTCCCTCTCTAAGATCTGAAGCGCCCTCTCATCTTCGACAGCCGCAATCCACGAGCGCTCCTTTGACCCCATGTGTTGCACGCTTCTACTCCTCTGCACGAGGTCAAATCACCCACACACACACACAACACCTGTTGTTTGATTTTGTGACCTCTTCGTTCAACTTGTCATCTCCATCGCCAAGGGCTGCTGCAGCTACCAGGATGTTGCGAGGCGGAATGTTGGGCGTGAGCCACTCGAGGGAGGGTGGGCTACGCATGCAACGACAACGAGAGACCTCGGTGGGCGTCGATGGACAGTGCTGTGTATAGGGATGAGGGCTTCCTGTCCTGAGCATGACACGAGCCCTTGTCACGCAAAGCATTGGGCTCAGGTGCAGCATCCCACATCGGTAGGTTGGACAATGGCACGAGCGTCACGCTTTGGGGCAGCTGCGACGCGCGGAGGCTGAGCTGGTCGGAGCAAGAGGAGAAGGCTCGATGGACTCTGCGTGCCAGGCTTGGGTGGGTGTCACCAAGGGCAACAAGGCCATCGTCATTGGGGGACCGAGCCGTAGCTCGGTTGGTGAGCGCTCTGGCTGCGAACGCCACCGGTCGCGTGTTTCGAGCCTTGCTCGGCGCGTGATTTCCCACCGGGGTTTTCCTCCTCTCTCGCGTGATGCCACAGTGGGTACCCAGACGAGAGGCTTTAAAAAAAAGCCATCGTCATTGGTCTCCGCGCCACCCCCAGCCAACTGTTGCACCCACCGTGCGCGGGTGCTAGCATTGCAGGCGGGTCGGTTCGCGGCCGTCCGCTAGGCGTCCACATAAGCCGCAAGAGTCACTAACATTTTGTGGGTTTCGTGGCAGCCCGCATAGGTCCACAACCGTCGGTGGCATCGCACACTACGTCACTCGCTCTTCATGTACGTACATTCTTTTGGCTAATTTGCAACAACTGATTAGTATAAATATATAAGCGATGGACCAAATGGGCAAGCACAACTAGGGCGGTCCTTACGAGAGTGTGACCATTTTCTAGGGCCTTGAACTCTAAAGTTGCAATGCAACATACTTATTATTTCTTATCAAGATCTCTAGCTAGTAGCCAAGTAATGTATCCTCAAGCGAAAGCGTTACTTCCAACCACGCAGCACCAATCTCTGACTTTTCTTCTCCCAATCTTGATCTCGGCGTTCATTATGGATGATTGCAGACCATGCGCGTCAAAGTGAAGGTGAAGCTATGTCGTCAACCTTTTTATGATGCCATGGATGGTGGAAACAAATGCAATATCAGTGATATTCATCTGTATCCGATCAGTTTGCACCCTTATTTTGTGCTTGTGTGCCGCTCGTACTAGGCCCCCATAGACGCATGCCATGTCCGCTCAGCCACCAAGAATTCCTCGTTCCATGTCTACTCTCTTGAAGCCTACAATGTTCAGCATTCGAGCTCACAATGAGCATGGAAGGGAAGCCGCCTTTGTCCAAGAAGCGAACGGGTTCTTGTGCAGTCGGCTGTTGTACCTGCTAGTGACAGTGAGCCAACCACAGATGATCTCATCGTCCAAGAAGCTAACTTCTGCTCCACGACGGCACACACACATCTACACCAAATAAGCACATTATAAAGATGCGTCTCATGATGTATCTCATTAACGATACTAATTTAGTGTCATCAATATTCATACTCGTTTTTCCTATGAACTATTAAATTTCGTTAAATTTAAAATAATTTGATTTAAAACAACTCTAGAAGTTGATTTAATTTAGAACGAAGGAAATAGTCATTAATTTCTTTTCTCTGCATACACTACTAGAGAACATACTTTAGAACGATATCCCAATTTGGCATTAGTCTCGGCATTTTTTGCCCCCGGGACTAAAGGTTCCTTTACTCCCAGTTGGAACCACCATCCGGGACTAAAAGTCCTCCAACCTTTAGTCCCGGTTGGTAATACCAACCGGGACTAAAGGTAGACCCTTTAGTCCCGGTTAGTAACACCAACCCGGACTAAAGGACCCTTTAGTCCCGGTTGGTAACATTAACGGGGACTAAAGGTTCCCCGATGGGTTAGTTCAAAAGGAAAACATCACATCCATTGTTAGATGTGTTGTGTAGGTGGGGTGGTAAGCTCGCGCGAGACAGTGCATGAGGTTTTGGGTTCGAATCTCATAGGGCGCAGCGGTGGGAGGCATTATTTTTTTTAAGCTGGGAGGATCTTTAGTCCCGGTTGTGACAAACCGGGACTAAAGAACACCACCTTTAGTCTCGGAACGCTAGTCCCGGTTGGGAAATCGGGACTAAAACCAGTTTCCAACCAGAACTAGATGTCAGTTCTGTAGTAGTGATAGAAACTATGAATTAAGATGGTCATATCTAAACGTATATTTATTGCTTTCTCTCCTCTGTACACTGCTTCCGTCTCTAAATAAACCAAATCCTAAAATTATTTTAAATCAAACTTATTTATGTTAGATCAAATTTGTGTATAAAAGGTATTTATGACATTAAATACGTATAATATAAAAATATTTTATGTTGGATTTAATTATACTAATTTGGTTCTATAAATTATAGTACCTTTTTTCAGATTTATTTAGTTATCTTTAAAAATATTTGGCTTCAGAAAACCTTTATACTACTCCTACCAATCACATGATAGAGCATTCACTGCCTACATGCTTGCACCGCTACTACGTAAATGTCGCTACGCTATTTTTGCTGATCAAAGCTTCCTTAAATTTAGAACATTTGTATCTTCAAATATATTTATTACGAAACTAGATTCAATGATCTATCTAATGATATTAATTATGTAGTATAAATATTAATATTTTTTTATAATTAAAGTTAAAAATATTTGATTTACTTATTTTAAGATTTACACTATAGCTATAGAGCATTCACTGCCTACATGCTTGCGTCACTACGACATAAATGTTGTTATGCTATTTGCGCGGTCAAAACTTCCTTAAATTTAGCTAGGTTTAGAGAAAATATTAATAATATTTGTATCTTCAAATATATTTATAACGAAATTAGATTCAACGATCACGTAGTAGATATTAATATTTTCTTGTATATATCTGGTTAAAGTTAAAAATATTTTATTTAACAGGATCTATATCTATATGCTACAGGAGTCTAGGAGACTAGGACACAGAGCATTCACTGCCGCCGCCCAGCAATCTCCGATTAGCCTATCATCATCAATAAATGAAAGAGAATCCTCTGCCCAAGATTTCAACGTCCCAACATGGCTACAAAAACACATCCAAAGTTTGCAGGCAAAGCAGCAACAACACACTACACACCAACCTGGCACTAGCAGTAGCAGCAGTGCAGCACACGCACCCTCCCAGCAAGCAACGATGGCGGCGAGGCTTGTCTCCGTCTCCGTTCCCCTCCTCCTGCTGCTCGTCGTTGTCCTGGCCGGCTCCCGCGCGGCGCTGGCCTCCAAGACCGTGGAGCAGACCTGCGCCAAGGCCACGTCGGGCGCGCGGCGCAAGGAGCTGCTGGCGCCCTTCTGCGTGTCGTCGCTCCAGGCGGCGCCCGGCAGCGAGGGCGCCGACGCGCACGGCCTGGCAGCCATCGCCACCAACCTGACGCTGGCCAACTACACGGCCGCCGTGGCCACCATCAAGGCGCTGGAGCGGCGCGGGGGCTGGTCCGAGCGGTCGCGGCGCGCGCTGGCCACGTGCCGCCAGCGGTACATCGAGGCGCTCAACGTCGTGCACAGCGCCGTCCACGCGCTGGCCACGGGGAAGCTCCGGGACTACGTGTCCGACATGGGGGTCGTCCGGAAGGCGGCGACCGACTGCGAGGGCGCGTTCGGCGGCGCCGGCGGGAACGCCAAGTCGCCGCTGCGGAAGGTGGACGCGGACGCCGACAACCTCACCGTGGTGGCGATGCTCATCGTCAGATCCCTGCAGTAATTAAGGGCGGAGGCCGTTGGTGTTGCATTACCTTGCAATTGTAGACAAATAATCAGTGTCCTCTTGAGTTCCTGTGTGATGTGCCAATCAATGAGAATATGGACGAGATAATAATACTTCACTGACAGTAGTACCTGTCTGATGTTCCTCAAGCCTGATTGGATATTTCGTCCATTTTATGTTTAGTTTGGATCCCAGCGCTAAACTATAGTCTCGGTCAAATTAGATGTTTATAGGTTAATTACGAGGACTAAACATGAATTAATTATAAAAATAATTGCATAAGCCGTGATTAATTGGCGAGACGAATTTAAAGCCTAATTAATTCATCACATTCGCTAATTATGAACTAATTAGACTTAATAGATTCATTTGATGAATTAGTATTCATTTATATAATTAGTTTTGTAATTAGTTTATATTTAACACTCTCATTAGTACCAAACACAAAGTTAGCTGCTTGCTTTCGAGAACCGAGACTGACATGACATACGGTGTCACGTACGAGAATAGAAATTCCATGAGAGATGCATGAACATGGAACGCAAGCGCACGTGAGTAGGAGTACCCGAGTAGGCAACACAAGCGCTTCTGTTCATCGAGACGTATCCAATGCTGAATTGTCAAAAAAAAAAAAAAAAAGACGTATCCAGTGCTGACTTTGACGTTTGTTGTTTTTCGCCTGCAAATCTGCCCGGGACTCGCTCGAGATAGAATGACATACCCGGTGCAGAATTACACGGTCCCTTACTCCCTTGTCGTTTTCGATAGAGACGCAGAGATGCTTCTTCTGGCTGAAACAGGCCGGTTAACGTTTTGCAAAGGAAAAAGTCAACGTTATCTTTCTTAACTTTCGTAAAAGTCTATTTTTCCTCTCTAAACTTTAAAACCGGACAAAATACCTCCCTCAACTTTTAAAACCGTTCATCTTACCTCCATGAACCTGTTATAAGCAATTTTAAATACGATTTTGTCTTTTTCTTTTTTATTTATTTCAGCTGCATCTTTGAAAAATCATAGTAAATCACAGAAAAATCATAAAATAGAAAATCTAATTTTGTTGGACTCCACATGATTAGATCTACACAGTGAACATATAATATGGTATGCTTTAGTACAAAATTTTTGCTGTTGGTTTAAATCTATGTTTTTCTGTAATTAATTGGAATAATTTATAGCTGCAGTTTTTATGGTCCAATTATGATGAAATTTTTATAGTGGGCTAATTATTGTATGATTGAACTGTAGTAAAATTTTCATACTTATTGGATCATGTATAGCTTAGTTATAGATTTATTTATATTTAACAAGCATAAACCTAAATAAAATCTATAACTAAGTTATACATGATCCGATGGGTATAAAATTTTTACAACAATTTAAGCATACAATAATTAGTCTACCATAAAAATTTTACCATAATTGGACCATAGAAACTGGATCTATGAATTATATAATTTAATTACAGAAGAGCATAGATCTAAAGCTACAGCAAAAATTTTGTACTAAAACATACCATATTATATGTTTACTGTGTAGATCTACTCATGTGGAGTTCAACAAAATTGGATTTTTTATTTTATGATTTTTCTATGATTTACTATCATTTTTCAAAGATTTAGCCAAAATAAATAAAAAAGAAAAAGACAAAACCGCCTTCAAAGCTTCTTATAACAGGGTCAGGGAGGTAAGATAAACGGTCTTAAAAGTTGAGGGATGTGTTTTGCCTGGTTTTAGAGTTCAGGGAGAAAAACGGACTTTTGCGAAAGTTGAAGAGGTAATGTGGATATTTTCCTTTCGAAAAAAAAAACAGACCAGTTTACAGAGTGGGCTTAGTTTTTTTTTGAGAGGGAGTGGACTCAGTTTAGGCATCGAGATGAAGCACAATTTTGATGAGCCCAACAACCTTCTCCAAGCGACAGAGGCGACTAGGCAAGGAAGTCGAGCAGAACTGCGCGAGCCATCCCCATTTGAAAATTGGCATGGAATGCTGTTGCCGTTCCCTCCATCCGTTAGTAGCAGGTCTGAGTGGGCCCAAACACCGTCAAAATAGGAGCCGTCCCATCCCATCCTCATTCATCGCGGAACCGAATACACGGTTCTTGAGCTCGCATCCCCCAGTGACCACGGCGACGTGCCAGCGGCAAAGCAAGGGCAGCCGTTGTCATGGCCGTCGGTCGTACGAGACATCCCCACTCCCTAACCTACAAGACAGACCCGCATCTCTCTTCACCAGCACCGGGCGCGCAGGCAGGAGAGGTGGGGACTAGGGAGCTAGGGTCCCTGTTGGTGGGCCAACGCAGACCAGTTTGATGGCGGCGGGCGCGGGCGAGAGCCAGGAGGTGGAAAGACTCCTCTCCTACGCCGAAGATCTCCTAGGCGTCTTCCTCGTCAGTACCGACCGCGACGGCAACGCGTAGGTGGGCGCTGGAGCACGGAGGCTGGTGTCCACCTATCGATCCAAGTCTGACGACCTCGAGCTGCAGATCAAAGGTCCGCTTGTCCCCTGTCTTACCGGGGTTTTTAGTGTTTCTCCTCGGTTGATATAGGCGTCTTTCTGGTTTAGATTTGGGGGATTGAAAGCATCTAGGCCCCTAGATGGGTTTCAGTGATTAATGACAACATGAAATTATTATAACTAACATGTGTTTTGCAGAGGCAATTTAAATTAGGTCATGGTAATAGTAATTGATTAGTCAATCATGGTGGTCATGCCCCTAATGATAGAAATCATTTTAGTTTTCAAAGGATGGACGACAAGGTTAAGGACGAACTAGTTCTAAGTGTTGTTTAGTGTTGGAGAGACACTTAGAGTAGTTTAAGACTTTGTTTTTCCTTTGGCCGTACTATTAAGGGAGTATGGACAAGTAGCTTGACCTAGGTGAGTCTAGTGGGTTAGGTGTGATGCATACTTGTCAAAACTAGCACTAGGTAGCTCAGGAATAGCCCTAAGATCAATTGGAGCAAACTTCATTCACATAGGATTTCGAGTTGGAAGTGAATGGAGGGTCAAATGACTAACTAGACGCTGGTCTGGTTGTGACCGAATCGCTGAAGGGTGAGTCCGATTAGTTCATTTGATCAACCGAAGTCGTCTGGTACTGACCGGACGCTGAGTGAAAGTGACCGGACGCTGGGTGCCTGCGTCCGGTCAACTCCAGAGACGTTCCAGAGAGGGAATTTCTTGACCGAAAGCGTACGCTCGGTGCTGACCGAACGCTGGTCATGATCCGATAACTGACCGGACGCTGAATAGTGAAGTGACCGGACTCTAGGTTCTAGTGTCCGATCAACATCAGTAAGCTTCCAGAGAGCGTTTTTCTTGACCGGACGTAGGTCAGAGTTCGGTCAGAACTTAATGGCTCTTTCTGACATAGTGGCGGTGATAACTGACCGGAGCATCCGGTCACCCCGTAGAGTGCTGACTCAGCCTCCCAATAGTTTGTTTTGAATGAGCGGGTATAAATACTTACTCCACTCATCCATGGGAGGTCTCTTGTCCATTTATTCAGCTAAGAAACAACTTAAGAGCGTAAAGAAGAGCAAGAGCCTAGTGAGGTGATTGAGATTTGAGAATCTAAGATTAAGGTCCTTATTAGTGCAAGGAGAGTAGCAAGCATGCATCCACCCTTCTCATTAGGCTTGTTGTGGTCAAGTGAGAGTTTGTGCTTGTTACTCTTGATGATCGTCATCACCTAGACGGCTTGGTGGTGATTGAGAGTTTGGTGATCATCCGACGGAGCTTGTGGATGACCCAACTCAAGTTGTGAGTGGTTGTGGATGATTTACCATGATGGAGTGTCGAAGAATCAGCCCATAGAGAGCACTTGATCATTGCACGGATCAAGGGGGGCTACACCTTGCGTGGGTGCTCCAACGAGGACTAGTGGGGAGTGAAGACTCTCCCATACCTCGGCAAAACATCACCGCATTCCTTTCCCTCTCTTTACTTTAAGCATTTACATTTGAGCAATTCATTTTATGTCTTTACATTCCTAGAATTGCCATGTTAGAATAGGATTGGAACTTAGGGTGCTAAACTTTTGTGCGGTAGAACAATAGAAACACATTCTAGACACAAGGGGTGAAGTGGGCTAAGTGTAGGGCTTAATTATTGCAAAGAATTTAGAATTAGCCCAATTCACCCCCCCCCTCTTGGGCATTTTGATCCTTTCAATTGGTATCGGAGCCTCGTGCTCGCTAAATTAGGCTTAACCGCCTAGATAAAGATGTCCCACGGAGATAGACCTCCTCCTATCTTTGAGGGAGATGATTTTTCTTATTGGAAAATCCGCATGGAGGCTTATTTAGAAGCTTTAGATGTTGGAATTCTTAGAGCCGCCTCACAAGGCTTCCCGAAACCTAAGGATCCCACACACCTTCAAGACGATGAAGTTAATTACGAGAAATAGAATGCAAATGCTAGAAACACCATCTTTAGAGGCCTTTGCAAACTTGTTTTTAACCATGTGCGGAACCACAAGGACGCCCATGCACTATGGTCGGACATTTATGCGCTCCATGAGAGAACAAAGAGTGAGCGTGAGGAACGCTATCATGTTGTTATGAAAAAGCTTAATTCATTTGAGATGCTTCCTAAAGAAAGTGCTAATGAGATATATTCACGATTGAATATTCCTGTAGAGAAAGTCAATGGGCTTGGACTCACACAAATGCAACCATCCGATGTTGTAAGAAAGATCTTGAGTGTCCTCCCCATTGACAAATATGGGCATATTGTGATCGTGCTTCATCAAGGTGATCTTTCCACCACTACACCAATTCAAATATTGGGAAAGATCAATGCACATGAGATGTATATGCACATCACACTACAAGATGGCTCTTCTTCCACATCCACCTAGCATTCAAGGCTGAGCCAAGAAAGAGTCAATCAAGTGTTTGATCATATGTTCAAGTGATGTGTCCTTGATTATTCAAACAAGTGGGATGGTGAAAAAAACCGCCTTTGGCTTAAGAAGTTCTCATAAGAATAATAA